TGCTTCTCCCTCTCCCACTCCCCCTGCTTGTGTTCCCTCTCTCGCTGTGTCTCTCTCTGTCAAATAAATAAATAAAATCTTTAAAAAAATAAATAAAATAAAATAAAATGATTGGGAGTAGAAGCAAAATGTTGAGCAATTTGACATATTCTGAAGTCACTGTGCTTGAACATGGCACAACAATTTCAAGTAATAATATCCATTTAATCATTTAGTTGAGAAATTTTTGTCAAACATTATATGCTGTGTAGGAGCTTATGTTGGGCACTAAGAATACAAGATGACTGAAAACAGCCCCCCTCCCTTATAATCCAGAGAGAGAAGTAGACGATGAGTAAGTAATGCCACAAATAACCTGAGGTTGCAATTCTGAAATGGGCTAGAAATCAGGGGTACCAAGAGCCAATGTGTTAGTTACCCCAGCCTTGGCTCGTGGGTCCAGGAGAGGCCTGTGTCCGGTGGGGCTCCTATTTAAATAACAGTGACCACCCTCACTGTAGGAACCAGTGTCTTAGACATGGCAGCTATGTGATAAATGGTCACCAAATGCAACCAGGAAAAACAAAAAGGCTAAAAATACAAAAATATCCAACAAGAAATACAAATATATTCAAATACACAATTTTTTAAAAAAAGTAATACTAACATGCTGTATTCTTACCCCTATTGTTCCAAAACTTTCAGGCTTTCTCCTCATCTTTTTCTTGCACAGGTGTGTCCAGATCCATTTAATCAGGTACCAGAGAGACTTGGGGCTTGGGATGACATTGAAGGGAGTAGGCAGAGTACCTCCTTCTTCGAAATAACTCATCCAAAGCTTTGTTCGAGCGAATTTCCATTCTATATCTGCATGGTCCTGAACGGGAGAATACGATAACTGCTGACAGGTTTCTTAATTACTAAGGTGAGATAAACCTCACAGAGAGCCCGTAACTTGACTTGGAGCAGCTCTTGGAACATTAATTAAATTGCTTACAAAAACAAGGCTGACTCTCAGCGATAGTCATCTAAATATTTCAGATGATGGCTTACCCTGGTAAAGAGTCACAGCAATCTTGTCAGGATTTATCCTTCCTTCTTCCATGAAACAGACATCTAAAATAATTCCATGTTAAAGAGACTGCAGTGATCAGTTTTGACTTGAAGATGAATTTTCCTTTCCTGCACTGTAGGCTTACATTAGCTCAGTTGCACTAGATTCTGGCCACAAACAGGACTTTATGTCTTACCCAAGGCCTTGAATCCCTGCCTAGGTGAGTGTCACCTGCATGGATGCTCATGGCTTAACTCTCTGGTGTTTCCAGGAGAAGACTTACTTGATATGTTCCTATGTGAATAATTCTTGTCCACCTTTAGGCAACAGACAAAAATTCAAAGAGAAGTTCCTCTAACAAATGTAGAATAGGGCCTCTGACACAGCATTGAACCCTGACATAACCTTGTCCAAAAGGTACCAGATAGGAGTATGGTTAGTGGCTGCCTGTAAGCCTGAGGCTATCCCCCTCATCATTTATCAATCATCCCACTTTATTAATGTCTTGGAAGAACTTAAGAACATTTGTGACAATTAGAGATAGGGCAGCCAGTCCCCTCTTAAATTAGCCACAAATCTGACTAAAGCAGAAAATCTGGGAAGTAGGGGGTGGTAGAAACTGGGCATATACATACATTTTAGGATTTCAAAACCATTCATTTTAACCCATTAATATTAGAAAGAAGAACTCAGATTTTAGAGTAGGAGCATAACCTTAGACTGTGCTTCATTCTAATATTCCTAAATGGCTGTGTGCTAATGAACGTATGTGTTGTATATACATTTCTACTCTGAGCAATAGAGATTTTCATCTAGACACTGGACAGATTGTGCTTTCAACAGGAATGAGCATATCTAGAAAATGTGTGACCTTCATTGTTGCTTAGCAAATGTTTGATGGGATAGATTGATCAATAGACAGAAACACAGAAGTTGCATTCCCCCCCCCATAATCCCCTCTTCCTCTCCTCTATTTCTCCCACCTTCCCTGGCTTTCTTTCTAAACAAGCTTATAGATTCTGCACTAATGAAGAAAAATATATATTGTTTGCTGTAGTCGTGGAGAACGGGAGTCAGTAGAATTGGCTTAAGATCATAAAAAAGCAGTCACTTCCATAAAGTGTTGGCCCATGTTTTATAGGATCCAAATTGTATATACAGTTTATATGTAGCTTGATAATTAGAGACTTTCTAATTTTTTTGGAAGGGTGGTCTGGAAAATAAAATCCATGTTTTGCAAATGTTTTGACCAGAGAAATACAGAACTTCTGAAGCAAATACATAGAGACTATCTTAAAAAATCCATACTTGCAAGATGCTTCAATGAAGCTCCACAAATTCAGATATTCACCTGCAAATCCTAGGAGCTAGGTATATCTGATGCAAATACTTAGTTTGTGAATGAGTAAATAAAAATCATCTATTCTTATGCTTTATGCAGTTTTTCATCTGTGACAGGGTATCTTGCCTCCATAAAGACCGTTGAAGTAAAATTCAGAATGCTGCTCCTCAAAATAACAATAACAACATTCCAGTGGTTTAGCAATAGATTCAAAGATGTAATATAATTGTGGCTATTTAAAGAGACAATTATGGTTATAAATTATGCTTATAAAATGCTACTTGTCTCAGGTATAAATATGAAAGACTTAAGTGTATTTCATTCCAGGATGGATTTGTTCTGTCGCTATTGCTAATGGCCACTGACATGTAGGGAAGTTCAAGGAGACAAAGGGCTTTGTCTTTCTTTTCATTGCTGTATTTCTAGTTCCTAGAATAGTACTTGGCAACAGAATAAGTTCTCAATAAGAACTTGTTGAATGGGCGCCTGGGTGGCTCAGTTGGTTGGGCGACTGCCTTCAGCTCAGGTCATGATCCTGGAGTCCCGGGATCGAGTCCCGCATTGGGCTCCCTGCTCAGCGAGGAGCCTGCTTCTCCCTCTGACCCTCCCCCCTCTCATGTACTCTCTCTCATTCTCGCTCTCTCAAATAAATAAATAAATCTTTAAAAAAAAAACTTGTTGAATGAATAAATAAATGAATGACTGTTGAATGAATAAATAAACTAACTTGTTTGGATTCTAGAGTCTCAAATAAACATATATGGTATTGTGTACTCTGTTGTAGAATTCAGGGTTACTCCTACATTGCTTTTTCTGGATTTAAGAAACTGAAAATCTTGTGGCTTTTTCCCTTAGACTCCCCTCTAGGCTAGCTTTTTTATCCTTCCAGGCTGGCACGGGTTTGTTTATACCAAGACTGTAAGTTAAATGGTCAGAGACAAAGGAAAATGCAAAGGGCGCTGCATAGAGATGAGCCACTTGTTCATAATTCATCCCTCCCCCAGTGCTTGCCATCGTCAATGACTGCCTGGAAAGATAGATTTCGTTTACTTTATAATCCTCCATAATATGACAAAACTAAATTAGTATGTAGCCAAATATGGTATAATACTGTTTAGAAACTTCAAATTAACCATTGATATTATAATTGTGCTCTGTCTCATCAATAGCCAGTTACAGACTGTTTTCTATGCTAAATAGGATAGAGTATGGTTAGAAACAACACGTTCTAGGGGGATATGTGGAATTAAAATAAAGTTATTCAACTTACAGCAATGAGTTGGTAAGAGTTATTCATCATAGCTATTAACATGTTGAGTAGGACAACCAGAGAGATGACATTGTATGTCCCAAACATGGTGGCGCCAACAAACTCAGTGAATTCATGCTGTGCTTTGACATTGGTCACATATAAATTGATCAGCCCAAATATTGACCAAAACAGGGACTGAAGTGTCTCAAATAACCTGGAATAAAGATAAAATGACGCTAATAGCTATATTAATAGAACTATTATACTATAAGATATAACAATAGAACTTGATTCCTATTATGTATATTTGCTTAATTTAAAAATTAAACTTAATAAAGGGTATTAAAGAATTACAAAATTAAACTTAATAAAAAGAATTAAAGAAAATTGTTTCCATCATATAGCACAAATCATGTACTTAATTTTCCTAAGAGCTTTGAAAACTATTTAGTTTCCTAGAGGAGAAAATCTGACCCACAGCCTGTTTTTGCATCTCTCCTGAGTTAAGAATGGTATTTGCTTTTACAAATGGTTGGGAAAAAGAGCTATTTTGTGACATTTGAAAATATTATAAATTCACATTTCAATGTCCATAGTAAAGTTTTATTGAAACACAGCCACAATCATTTACTGATGCATTGTCTATGGTTTCTTTTGTGTTAAAATGGCAGAGGTAAATAGTTGCAACAGAGAACATATGGCCCACATAGTCTAAAATATTTACTCTCCTGGGCGCCTGGGTGGCTCAGTTGGTTAAGCGACTGCCTTC